ACATCATTGTATGGGCAGGAACAGGCCTTGGTTCTCTCCTTCCACCATAGCTATGTTCCAGGGATCAAACATTTCGGCTTAGGGAGTGCATGCTTTTACCTGTTAAGCCATCTCACCAGCTCTAGACACCCGCCTTATATTTCAGCAGAACTGTGCCTTGTCACAAGCATGTCCTCTCAACCTGTGGTACCATTTCCTGTGTTTTACTTATAAAAAGACCTTGGGGATGTCTAGGGGGTCTTGGCTTAGACTCTTAGTCCGTGTATGATTTTCTCTTCCTTTCAACTGTATGCAGCACTGCACATATTTATGTCTTAATACACTTTGTTCTCGCAAGTTTTTAAGCACCTTAGGAGCAGCAGTATGACTTTGTATCCCCCAGGGGATCTACAGGGACCAAGTCTTGTGGGAATACTTAATGATGATGCCCAGAGTCATTTTTTATTTTGCCATACTGAAAAGGCATAGTCAAGTGCCCTTAAGAAATGAATCATGTGGGTCAAGGGAAGGACTTCTTCATGAAACACTTGAAAACCTATTCAAGATTGTCACCAGCAGTCTAGAGCGAAGCTTAACACTGCTGGCTGTGGAACCTGAGGAGTTCCCTTCCCAGCCTCAGGCACTGTTCCTCATATACAGCCTGGGTTCTTGAACTATGCTGCAGAAAAGAATTTCAGAATGAGTTAGAGTGAAGCAAAGTTAGTGAGTCTATTGACAGGAGAAATTACAGTCACGAGAGTCAAACATGACTGTAAGGAAAGGAATACCCCTAATTGCCTCAGTTATGTGATTACAGAGTTTGCCATTAAATTATTAAAAGATCATCTACAGGGTTGAGAGAAAAATGTGTTGATATACTCATTTCCTTATGGAAAGAGTTTATATATATGTAAAAATTTAAGGGGGGTGTGTGTGTGTGTGTGTGTGTGTGTGTGTGTGTACCAGTAGGCTTACAGATGAGGAAGAAATGCAGTTAAGGCAAAACCTTGGATTATGCCAGGCCTGGTAGATATGAGGTAGGAGGATCACAAGCTCAATACCAGCCTGGACAACTTGCAGAGATTCTGTTTCAAACAACCAAAGAAAAAGCTAGGGATATACATCAATGATAGAGCACTTGCCTAGCATGTGTATGGCCCTGGACTAACTTTCCAGCACAGAATCTTTTTAAAAAATTCTATTAAAAATTATTGTTTATTTTTATTTTTTATTTTTCATTTTACGTGTATGAGTGTATTGCCCGCAGTGGGTGCTGGGATTTGAACCCAGGTCTTCTGCAAGAACATTCAGTGTTCTTAACTGCTGAGCCATCTCTCCAGCTCCTTATTTATTATTTTTATGTGTATGAGTGTATTGCCTGCATATGTGTAAGTGCATCTGTGTCATGCAATGCCCTCAGAGGTCAGAAGAGGGTGTCGAGTCTGCTGGAACTGGAGTTACATACCGTTGTTAACCACCATGTGGATGCTGGAAATCGAACCTAGGTCCTCACAAGAGCAGTCAGTGCTCTTAACCACTGGAACCATCTCTCCAGTCCCAGAATTTTTTGTTTTTTGTTTTTTTTTTTGGTCTTTTTGAGACAGGGTCTCCCTGTAGCCCCAGCTAACGTGGAACTCACTTTGTAGACCAGACTGGCATTGAACGCACAGAGATCTGCCTGCCTCTGCCTCTGGAGCACTGGGATTAAAGACCGCACCACCACGCCTGGCTCAGAATATTTTTTAAATATAAATTTTAAAAATTGGTATGTATATGTGTGTGTGGGGGGGGTGCACATGAGTACAGGCAGCCCAGGAGGCCAGAGGAGTCAGTTCCTTCTGTAGTTGGAGTTAGAGGTAGTTGTGAGCTGCCCCATATGGGTGCTAGGAATCAAACTCAGGTCCTCTGCAAGAACAGTGTGTGCTCTTATCCCTGATCATCTCTCCAGCCCCCCCTCCCCCTTTTTTGGGAGACAGGTTCTCACTGTGTAGCTCTGGCTGGCCTGGAACTCCCTGTGTTGACTGGGCTGGCCTGGAACTCACAGAGATCCTCTTGCTGCTGCCTCCCAAGTGCTGGGATTAAAGGTGTGTGCTAACAGACATTCCTGCCAAGATCAAAATCTTCAAAAAAAGTAACTTTGCTATACACAGGTTACACAAGATTTTTTTTGTTTTTAATGTGTATGAGTTTATTGCCTGCATGTATGTGAGTGCACCTGTGTCGTGCAATGCCGAGGAGGTCAGAAGAGGCCTTCGGATTCCCCTGGAACTGGAGTTAAGGACGGTTCATAGCCGCCATGTGGGTGCTGGGAATTGAATCCGGGTCCTCTGCAAGAGCAGTCAGTGCTCTTAACCGCTGAGCCATCTCTGCAGCCACAAGATTTTTTTTATACTGAACAGAGTTCACTAGCTATATTAATAAACTCATTTTTAGGAAGGAAATATAATTTTGTGTATGGTTTCTGTATTCATCTATGCCGAAACTCTTGTCTCTGTCAGCAAGAGACATGT